GAGGAAGACTGGCCCTGGGCTGACATCCATGCCCGTCTTCCTCCACTTTATATGGGACGCCGCCACAGCATGGCTTGACAAGTGGTGTGTCAGTGCACGCGTGGGATCCGAACCTGCGAACCCTGGGCCGCCACGGCGGAGCGCACGCACTTAACCACTTGTGCCACTGGGCCGGCCCCCACGGCAGTATTTTTTATATATAGCAGTTAGCACATCATATTGTAATGTTCTCCTTCACTAGTCAGTGGAGCTCTTCAAGAGCTGTGACCGTGAGTTATTAATCTTTGTATACTAAGCTTTTGGTAGAGTAACTGATAAAGCTAATGTTTAGAAAACATTGGTTGAATGACTAATCATGAGTAAAGAAAATTCAGGAGAGAATGACGACAGTCTCCTGTGATGGTGGTTTTAATCTTTTGTGGGTGACAGACCCCTTTGTGATTCTGTTGAAAGCTATAAACCTTCTCCTTGAAAATCCAAATACATACAATATTTGGCCTACACTTTCATGGGATTCATGTACTCCTGAATCCAGTTCATGGATTTCTGATTCAGAATCCCCCCTTAGGAAATTATACCCAGGGAACCTATAATCACTATCCAGACCTCAGCATGAGTAACTGTTGTCTCCTTTAACAGTCTTTAAATGTTGGATTATGATTGTGTCTCTTTCTCATACTTTTCTTGAGTTCTTGTCATGCTGGAGAGGAGTTAAGTCAAATAGCTGAACTACTATGAAGAAAGAACAAATTTTTTATAATGATTAAGGTAAAACTTTGCTGGTCTGTAAAGATAATAGACAAGTGTGCTGATTAAGCCAGCAACCAGGAAGCAGCTGCTTGAGGAGATCCTGACATTCCTGAGTTGGGTTTAGCAAGTGAGGTGGGCGTCCGCAAGATCACCCTCAGGCTTGATGATTTGCTAGAAGGACTCAGGACTCAGAAAAGCTGTTATACTCATGATTATGGTTTATTACAGTGGAAAGATACATATTAAAATCATCAAAAGGAAAAGGCACATGGGACAAAGTCTAGGAGAAACCAGAGGCAAGCTTCCAGGTGTCTTCTCCCAGTGCAGCAGTACAGGTGCACTCCGTAGCTCAGCAACAGTGTGACAGCATGTGTGAAGTGTTGCCAACCAGGGAAGCCCAGCGGAGCCTTCAAGTCCAGGGTTTCTAGTGGGGCTCAGTCATAGGCTTGCAGCTTTCTTATCAGGGAGAATATTTCAAGGGATCAGAGGTCATCTGGGAATTGGCCAAGGGCCAGTCCTGAAGACAGGCCTTTCTTGGGAAGGTGCAGGGTTTAAGCAACTCAGGCCTGCTGAGTTAACCTGTTCCTGCACACAAGTTAGCTCTTCAGAGATTTAGCTTTCTTCTGGCCTGCCTGTCTGCCTAGCCACTCTTTTTCTAGATGCAGTAGACCTCCTTAGTCTCATCATACATGGCCATTCCACATACTGGGATTCTTCCTTTTTTCTTGCCTACAAGTGGTTGGAAAGTTTGATTGGACTTAAGGACGTATCTGTGCTTTGCAGTTTTGTGAGATCATAGTGAAATATAAGTGCCCATTCTATCATTCATTCAACAAGTATTTTTTGAATGCTGCTATGTACTAGGCTGAGAGCTAGTTGTGGATTTATAGAAATGATTAATATGGGTCTCAACCCTCGAGGAGCTTAGAGTTTCATGGTGGAGAAAAAAACAAAAATAGCAATTCTGGTAAGCAGTGTGTGTTTTGGGGAGCACTTAACCTCGTTGGAGAGCATGGTGGAGGGTGTGTGTATCTGTGTCTATGGGAAGGTGTTGGTGATAGTTAGAGGGAGACTTCCCTAGAGGAGTCACTCCTCGAGTTGAGCCGTGAAGATCAAGTAGATACAAGTGGGCTGGAGCTAGTGTCTCTCCAGTCGTTTCTGTAGCCGGGTTGTCTGTGTGGTTGGAGCATGTATGTACTGTTACTGGTGCAGTCTTCTTGGCTTACTGAGAAGTACCCGCAGCTACAAGATACATGTCTTTCTCAGGGTTTGCACAAAAGAAACTAGTGTCTAGCTCAATACAAATCTATTTCCATTACTCCATTACCATAAACCCACCTAAATGACATTTCCAACCTACAGTGAGTAGGTAGTAGTATTTTCACACGTTGCTCCCCAGTGGGGGAGTGTGTAAATGCACAGTTTAGGGCTGATAGAAATAAGTGTAATCATTAAAAATTTAAATGTACTTTTTTCAAATGGGAGGGCAAATGCTTGCCTTAGGTTGATGAAATTGCATGTAACAATTTTTCTATACTTGGAAGCAAAAATGTTTTAGAAAAAAACCTGGGTCCAAATTTCATCACACTAGGCTCCTACATATGTGTGCTCTTAACAGAATTTGGAATTTCTAAGAGTAACAGAGCTTTTTTTTTTGAATAGTGCAAAGAAATTGTATGATTATAATAGGATTAGGAATGTATTATTATAGTGAATATGGGATAATTTCAAATTACTAACCTTGAGAATTTTTTCTAATAGAATCTTGTTCTCTTTTTCTAGCATTACAGTGTTTCTGCCACCTTTGTACAAAAGACAATTTTACTTGTGTCACAGATGGGCTCTGCTTTGTCTCTGTCACAGAGACCACAGACAAAGTTATACACAATAGTATGTGTATAGCTGAAATCGACCTAATTCCTCGAGACAGGCCATTTGTATGTGCACCGTCCTCAAAAACTGGGTCTCCTACTACAACGTTTTGCTGCAATCAGGACCATTGCAATAAAATAAAACTCCCAACTGTTGGTAAGTTGTTGCGTAAGATATTTTTTCTTGATACTGTAAGAAAACCTCTTAGACTCTGACTATGATTTTAGAACTGGAAGGGATCTTAGGAATCGCCTACCCCAGCTTGTTCAGTTTAGAGGCAAGAAGTAACTTGTCCATAGTTGCAGAGTTATAAGAGTAGCCAAGATCCTCACTCCTGGGTGTGTGTTGAGATGGTGGTTCCTATAGTAGACTTTCTCTGAGGTCTGTTATGCCTAAAAGGGTAGCCTGTTAAAAGGGAGTTCTGACAAAGCCCACTACGGCAGTGTGTCCTCAGAGTGTCCCTACATTGTCCTCAGAGTGAATTTCTTCTTCCTTGTATAATGCTCCAGCCTTTTAAAGCAATCAATAATGAGAGCAGCACTCAACAGTCCAAATGCCCTTTTGTAATTTCATCTTGCCTTATGACCTTTATGTATAAATTGCATATGATTTCTAGGTTTTTGGTCCTTCACCATAGTTTACATTTTAAAATGTCCTGGCAGAGCCAGGAATTTGAAGGCTTCATAAACTCTTAGGATAAGATTCTGGCTTAAGATGTTAGTCTGAGCATATGTATTTAACTCTTCTATCACTTTCCTCAAATCCCAAATTCCTACTGTAATAATCAAAGGAATATAAAAATGGGGGAAACATATTAATGCTAGCAGAATTAATGGAAGAATGCCACCCACACGCCTACACTTGGGAGGAACTTTTGCAATTTATAGTGCAGATGACATCAGACTAGTGAAGAATTGAAAAGAAGTATTTTATGTATTTAAGTATTTTAAGAAAAATTTTACTACAAAAAGAAGTAAGTGAAAGGACCTCTTACAAAATCCCACCAGTACCTTACGCAGAGAGGCTTGGGGTGGTTGAGTTACAGGGGCAAACTCTCAGTTCTCCTTTCGGAAGCACCTGGTTTCAGTGCTCAGAGAGGCAGACCACAGTGCTCACTTTCCCCTCAGTTTGTCCAGGTGTCATGCTAATAAAAGTAAGAAGCACTGCTGTAGTTCAGGGGAAAAGGCCCATTCTGCCAGTTAACAGAGGGGAGGCAGTCCTCCACCTAGTGCAGGTGACAACAGCAAAGGAAAGCCAGATCTTCAGCCTGATAGGGAAGCTCCCGTGGCAAGGCTCTGTCACACTGTAATTTTTATTACTTTTATATAGGCATGGGCAATTCTCATAAGACAGAGAAAATGGTAATTCCAGAATTTCCCATTTCCATTGTTTGGCCTTGAAATATCTGAATGGAGACTCACAAAGCTTGTGAAGAACTCACTTCATTTCTAATGCTAAACATACATAAATTCTTCATTCCCAGGTCCCTAATAAGCAAACAGCAAAAAAATTACCAACTGAAAAGATTCAGTGGTTCAAAAGAAGTGAACTGAACTGGATAAATCATAGTAGATGTCATCCCGTGAGATAGATTTACCATGTGATGGGTAAGAACTCTCAGGCAGCCCAAGGTCTGTCTGTTTTCAGTTACTCACTGTGAAATGAAATGAGAACATTTCACAGTTGTTCAAGATCGCTTTCAGATGAAAAGCTCAATTGATGAATTATTTTTTAAAATGCAATATTGAAAGTGAATAGCAGACTGGATGCAGTACTTTTATAGTCAAGTGTGAGACAAGCTTAAGGCAAGACAAGCTTGAGAAATTATGTTACAATTCAGAGAAAAAGACAGTTGGTGAGCAAATTAAGAGATAGAGGGCAGATAGAGGTGATCCAATATGCTTAGTTTAAAAATTCCAGAAAAAAACATAAAAGTAGACAGAAGAGAGAATACTATGCAAAATTAATGAAAAAATACTTAACCGTAATACATATAATGAAAAAACATATCAATTTCAAGAGTAAAGAAAAAAATTTATGTACGTATTCAGCACAAGTGAACACTGGTTACCTATAAAAGGAAAAAAAAGTTCAGATTTTCTGTTTTTTCTAAATAACAGAAGGCAATGGAACATCATATATTGTTACCCCAAATTCTTTAGAAGAGCCAAGATTTTTCATATATAAAGGCAATGGCCAACCATCTTTAGGTAATTATTCAGTGTATAAGGAGCCATATACTCTTACTGAAAGAAATTACTAGAATTTTAGGATTCTATATCATAAGAAATCAATCCAGATAAAGATCTCAAGAATGGGAAAGATGTGATATGAAAGAAATGATGGTGAGCAGTGAACCATCAAGGCTCAAGATGAATGCCAAAATAATTGTAATTAATGTGTTTCTGAAACGATGAAAAAATTAAAAGAGATAATGAGAAAATAAATGATCTTGAATTAAAAGTCCAAATAGTTAAAATAGACTAGAAAGTTATACACATGCAAACTCTATTAAAAAAAAGACAAAGGATATATTTTTCATGAACAAAATTGATGGAGATATATGTATACACACACTAAAATGCGAGTTGTTTTGGGGTGGTGAGGCTGTAGATTTTTTTTTTTTTTTTTACTTTTGCTCATTTGTATTTATACATTTTTTTTTTCCTGCTATGAGCATATACTGGCCTTGGAATAAGAAGACAAGCCAAAACTACTTAAAAAAAGAAGATTTAAGAAGACGTTAATGGGAGTTGTTCCAGATTATTGGTTCTTTCATTAGTGACCTGAGAGTGATAAATGAGGAGGTCCTAGAATGTTGGAGGTAGCTGGCCTTGTTCTTTAGATGATGGCTGAAGAATATAGGAAGAGTAAGTAGATGTTGACGGAGCTGGTGATCATAAAAAGAGGGCGAATGGTAGAAGACTGAATGGTTCACTTGTTCTGGGTTAGAGGCCTTTGAGCTCCTGTAATGGGGCTCTGTGACTAATGGTGGTAGTGGCCAACTGCAGGAATTGTGGAGGATTAGGAAATCGTGGATACTACCTACAGTGTTTTTATTGTCGTTGATGTTTATTTCACTTGAGGCCCTTTTTCAGGAAAGCCATCGTCTGGCCTTGGTCCCGTTGAACTGGCAGCTGTCATTGCTGGACCAGTCTGCTTTGTCTGCATCTCACTCATGTTGATGGTCTATATCTGCCATAACCGCACCGTCATTCACCATCGAGTGCCGAATGAAGAGGATCCTTCATTAGATCGCCCTTTTATTTCAGAGGGTACTACGTTAAAAGACTTAATTTATGATATGACAACATCAGGTTCTGGATCAGGTAATGTAATTGTTTTTTCTTGTTCCTAAGAAGTCTTCTTAAAATTAACTATATCATTTATTTTATTAGTTGGCTAAGCCAGTTGGTTTAGTTCATTAAAACTTGGGATAGTGTGAATACTATTCCAGCTTTGAGCCTAATACAAGTCTTGAAGCTTGATCTATATCTGACTGTGGCTAGTTTAGTATAGACAGATTAGAATGTACTTGTACTGTTGAAATAAGTCAGCAAGTCAGCTTCATGTTTGTATGAATGTCAAAGCATTCTCACCTTCTCATGACTCTGAGATAGAAAGAATAGGGACAGTTATTCTCATATAGGTGAGGCTGAAGTTCAAATGATCTGCAACTATTCATTCTATTCAGAATTGTTTAGCTGCTTTATTTTTGTGTTTGAAAGCAGGCACGACAGAAAATGTGTTTGGAATTGTGAAGGTTATTTGCTTTTTTAACATGAAATTCCTGTCTTTTGCTCAGGCCTACTTTTTTATTGAAATAATGAGTTTTTAGTTATTTTTCTCACTTAAGAAAAAAGTCTAACTGCCTTATTATTTAATATAGCTGTATGGATCCACGGCCCATCTGATGTTTGCTTTCCTCAGTTGTTTGTGGATTTTTGTGGGATCAGACATAGACTGGCTAATGGCCAGAATCATCTCCTGAAGTGGATTTTGGCATAGCAGTGCTTCATGTTTAAACCGAAGGGGATTTGTTTTTCACTTTTTCTTTTTTTTTTTTTTTTTT